AACATTTGAAGTTTCCTGACCCTGCTCCTCCCCTCAGAATGTACATTCTGTCTACTACTTCCATGCTAGCAGTCATTTCAACGATGTAGCCTTGAAAGAGTAAGGTGTTACTGCGACCACCTCGGCTATATACATAACTGAACCCAGATAAGTCTTCTATATAATCATTTAAGATTTTTGGTAGGCACAGATCTATGTGTCTTGTGGCCACTCAAGACATGTCTTGTGTGTAAGTTCCTTTGCTCTTTAAGAATGCTCTCTACCGGTCCTCCCTGGTGGCCTCAGGGTTAAGACTCAGGGCTATCGCCACTATGATCAAATTTCTCCTCCTGGCCCACTGCTGTCCTTAGCAGTGTATTTCAGTAAATCTGCTTGTTATACTCCCACTGTCTCTGGTGAATCCTCTCATCCCCCCAACCCCCATACCTCTGGACTACACCCCAGTTCTTCTTTGCAAAAAAAAAAAAAATAGATTGCTCCCTACCCATATAGAGAGTGCTATCTCTTGCCTCTCATCTCTCCTAGAAATGGGGCCAGGATTTCAAACCAATCTACTTCAAAAATTCTTCTTTCTGTGTAATCAAATACCACCCATAAAAATATAGACTCATTATTTCCTCATAGTAGTCATATTTGGGTAGAACTCTTGGAATACCTATTGCAGTTTTAAAATAATTCTATTTAAAGAAGAAAAAGACTAGAGTTACTACAGAATATGTGGCAGTAATGAAGAAAATTAACAAAGAATGAACAGAGAATGTACAATAATTTTCATAATTCCTAGCAAATCTTAATATAGATTCAGTTCAGTATTTTGCATGAATTCCTAGGATGGAAAAATTTTAGGAATATCATTGATAAGCAATTTATAAGTATTGACTATATGAATAAAAAGGCTAATATAAAATTTATAACATAAAAAAATTCTACCACACCTATTGAATATAGTGTTAACATTCAGTGCAGAATTTGTTCTTATTCTCTGTCATACATTTATCTGTTATGAATCACTTTTACTAAACTATTAGGTCAGCATGTAGTGAACAAACCAACAACAAAATTTAATACCAGGTTTACAGTCACAATAAATCCCCTGAAAAGTTCTCAGGTAATTTATAAAGTATTCTCACATTTTATGACACCAGGCATTTTACAACTGTACACTTGATGGTGATGTAGAAATTTCACATGAAATTTTTATGTAGGCTTGCCAAAAATGAGTAAGAATCATCTCAACTACATTTTAATTTTATCTCAGAAGGCTTCTAAAAACACATCCATATGTGTTTAATATTTTCTTGACACTTAAGAATTCAGAAGTATAAATATGCACTCCAAAGACAATAGAATGTAGTACTAGAATTTGGACTTGGAAAAGGACTAGCGTCTCAACTTCTACTCTGAAGAGGCTTTCCATCCTAAATCATCTCTGAAAAGTTGTACACCTGAGCACTGCATGGACATTTCCAGAAGTTAGTGGTTCCACACAACCCAATTATTTCTGAACAGTTCAGAATGGGGAAGAATAGAGTGCAGGAAGCAGATTTCCTCCCATCCTCTTGAACTTATACTTGTGTCTCTGTACACTCTTCTATGGGTCTCAATTCAAAATTTAGAAAGGACAATTTCCCATTTTTTTCTATTTAGCAATCTTTTCCAAAATCCCAGGATATCATTTACGATTTCCTATGTCTTTATTTCTCCAAATTAACAACCTCTACATGGAATAATCATCCTCTAAAAATATTTGCAGACTCCTGACCATTCTACTCTTCCTCCTCTGAATTTACATTGATTTGTCAATGAAGGAAACAAATATGTTCTAGCCCAACCCATCAGCTTCTGAGTGTTTTTTTAGAAAAGTAAGTTAACCTTCCTGTAGCGAGTTAACCTTCAGTTCATGCTGAACTGGCTGTAATGCAGTCTACCATTTCCCAGTGTGTCTTTGTGCTCATTCTCATACATATAAACGATACAACAAGTATCCAGAAGAGGGCAAGTTAAATTATTTAATATCTAGATACAAACAATAAGAACAACTCCATAAAGGTTCTGTCCCAGATTATAGCTTCCCTTAACATTCCTGAATCTGTTATTATTCATATTAGCCAATCTGAATTGATTTTGGGCCACCTGAATTTCCAATAAACTGGGATTTTATGTTATTTCATCAAGCCATTTCCAAGACAAATGAACAGAAAGAGCCGTGTCTCACACTACTAGAGGTGTTTTTCCAGACTGACCTTCATTCACCCTGCAATATTCTTTGGAAACTATTTTTTAATCAGGTGCAATTTATCTACCACTACATTTCTATTTCCACCTGTTATTCACAAGAATAGCAGGAAAAGATTTTATCCTCTGCCTTGTTGAAATGCAGACCCTCTTTGGCCGCTTTGACTATATTATTCTCCTATTTGGTCAATCTTAAATCTAGTTAAAGAATTTCCTTGGAATATCATCCTGCCAAATCAAAGTTATCCATACTACTATATTCAGTATACTATAGAGACTACACAAGATTTTAGAGAAAAAAATTAAAAACAAATAATCTGGTTAAGATTTGAATGCAATCACAACATTTCAAAATGGTTACCTCATGTCAATATTCGTAATAAACTGTAATCTCGCTATAAGGAAAAACATTCTGAATGCATTCTGAAAAATTAGTGCTTGACCAAAAAGCTAAGTGCTAGTATACTCAAAAAGAGAAAGCTGATGAGAGCCAAGAAAATACTTTTCATCATAAGCCAAACTTATAACCAATGGTCTACACTAAGAGCTTGCTTTAAGGAAACAACATTAGAAAATAAAAATGACCTGGCATAGTAAATGGAAATAAATAAATTTTGTACCATAAAAAGGGAAATTTATCATAAGCAATGCTAGAAGTGCTTTCTGTAAAAAATTAAGTTATAAACAGTTGTATTAACTTAAATCACAGCTACTCAAAGCCTTTTAAATTGTTCAATAAGAACAATAAAAATAATATGTTCACCTGAAGGTGAAATAAGCTCATGTAATAAGGCATTTTAAATTACTGAAGCACTATACAAATTTAAGGTATAAAATATGCTTTATATATACTTTTACTACTAACAGCTTCCAGCCATTTATCCCAGAGACAACTACAAGTAAATGACAAATGTTGTATAAAATACACAATAATAGCAGTTATGGTTAACTCTACAGTATGGCTATTTTGCATAGAGTTTTATATATATATAAAACTCTATATATATATATATATATATATATATATATATACACATAGCCTAAGTGATCTCTTCAAACAATGGCAGTATAAACTCTCGTCTCTGCATTCATCTCCCCTTTGTGCCTGAAACCATAGACCACAAAAATCAGGAGTGAATTTTATTCTAAATTATGGAAGAAGGGGAGAGAGAAAAACAGGAGAGAAAAGAGGAAGAGAAGAGATGAAAGTAGAGGGAAGGAGTTTGGGAGAGGAGAAAATAAATCGGAAAGGTGAGGAGAACACTAGGGAAATTTTCAGGAAACCACTTGATCCCTGTTCCGAATGTGCTGAGTCTGAACTCCTCCAAGTGAACAGAAGAACTGGGGCTCCTGGATGCTTCACTCCCAGCTGCCTAACAGCGTAAAAGTATTAGGTATTATCAAACATATATAACTGAGCAAGGTTAATATTTAAAGTAATATTTTTTAAAAATCAGTTGCAGAGATATTCTCAAAATCACTATCTCTAAATGTCTATTAATTAAGTCACATCAACCCCATTTTGCCTCTTAGAGAAGGAAGAGCAAAAATAGGAAAAAAAAGTTACACATTGAACTTAAGGTCATTTTTATTCTAGGAATTTTAATCAGGGAGTTATTATTGTAGCAAGGCGCTTAGGGTATTTTTTTCACACTTCTTTAAATGAAAAAGTACTGCTAGAAATGTTAGGTTTTACGAATAAAAAATGCTCATAGCTGTGAGCCAGAGCTTTATTCCAGCTCACTGAAAAAGGGAGAAGTATATTTCAAAACTCTGGCATATTCAACCTCATCAAAACTTTCAAAAGCTACAAACTTCCAGATTTTGTACTCAGGGTAAATATTTTGATATTTAAAACCGAACTTCAAGTATTTCTTAAATATTTTTTACTTTGATACATGTTTTCCAACTTACAAAAATGTTTGCTGGAATAATGCATCACAAATTATGTTTCAAAATGCTGCTCATGTGCTTCTTTTAAAATTCATGATCATAAAGTAACTCTTCAAAGAATCCCAAGAGTCAGAAATGATATGCATATAAACATTGAGGCACTCTGAAGAGAATACTTTGTTATATTAAACACAACTGTTTTCCAGTGTCCCCTCAAGTGTATATTTGGTCACGATGGTCTCAATTAAAATACAGATGACACAAAAGTCTTCTTTGTATTTATGCAAAAGGATCTACTTCACAGTAATAAAATAAAATACCTGTAATAGGACGTGATTAAAAAGGTAATGCTGGGGGCGCCCTTGTTAGGGGGGGAAAATCCCCTTATTTAACTATTTTCCAAACCCTGTTCAAATTACTTGAAAACAAAGTCCCTTAAAATAAAGAAAAAGTATCAGCTGCCCTCCATAAAGTTCCAAGATGAAGCACACAGCAAAGGAAACTTTCTCTGCAGGGATGGAATCTAATTTGGAGAGACTTCTTTTTTTTGTCCAACTGGTTAAAAGTTTGCCTCTTGGAAAGATTCTGGAAATCAATTGGCAGGGTATAAACTACAACAACTCTCACAAAGGAATGAACAATGAAAAATGCTTCAAGCCCTTTTGAGGGTAGACAGGCAATTCCCCTCCACACCATTAGGGAGTTGGACATGAACTTGCATCAAGATTAGCTAGCCTCACTTGCCCCAAAACGCACTCCCGAAGGGCAAAGCAAACAGCCATCCCGGGCCAGTCACTGTCCCAGGCAGGAACCGATGAGGAAGCTCCGGCCCCCACACAGGGTGCAACCTAGAGCCCGTGCCTCAACTGTACCTCTTTGCTGATGCGCCTGCGTCTGCCGCGGCGGCTGCTGAGGCTCCTGTGCCCGGGCGCCCCCGACGCCTCCGCTCAGCAGCAGCGCCAGGAGGACCCCGGCGACTCCAGGCATCGCGGTGGCCCGGAGCGGATCCACTTCCCAGGAGCCTGCGGAGTCGCTGCCGCCTGGCCCCGGCCTGGGGTTGTGAGCTCAAGGAGCAGCAGCTGCTGGAGAAGAGGAGGAGACAGCCCGCACTAGTTTTGGCTCAACAGCCCCGAGGGTGGGGGGAGAAAGAGGACACTCCCCCGTCCGCCCCTTCCCAGGCACTCACCCTGCAGAAGACAAGCTCAGGCCCTTAAAGCGTCCTACGTGAAAAAGGCCCTTCTTAGAGCGTCCCGCCCTCTAAGAGGGAATCACTGCTAAGCTGGATCTGTTGGCTGAACCTCTTTAATTTAAAAGGATGTAATTGGCATGAAAGCACTTTGTGGTCTATGAAATCCCTGCATATGGTAAACATTAATCGTGAACATTCTGCACAAGGAACTTGACCAAAGCGGGGTAGTGCACCTCCTGGTCTGTCAAAATTGTGTGCAGGCAGAGTCTCCAGGTGTCCACGTTGGAGACAGGATGGTCCCCAAGGCCTGGAAGGCTAAGTTACCAGGGAGGGGGACAGAAGATGGGCCGTAAGGACACTGCAAAGCAAGTCAGGACATCCAGTGCTTCATAGACTGCGGGTAACAAGGAAGGGCAGAGTAATACAAGGCCCCTTGCTCCACTGTAATGTTTAGGACCAATCTAAAGGTTAAAATTAGGTTTCAGTTCAGTCGGGAAACATTCATTTAAAGAGGATAAAAGGACTTTGCGATTGTTTCCTTTCAGATTGGAAATTTCATGTCCTCCAGTCCATTTCTTCCCTTTAACACAAGGGAATTTTTGCAGGGTTTTTTTGTTTGTTTCTTTTTTTTTTTTTTTTTTTTTTTTTTTTGGTACTCCACCATTAGGATGACTGCTCCTTTTGTGTTTGTTTTTTATAGGGGCAAGGGTTCTAGTAAAGTTTGAAAGAGCTCCTTGCTGGGTGGTTCTAAGACTTGCAAATGTCTGGGTTTACTCAGTGATATAGCGGTACTCCTGGCCTTAGAGCCCTGAGGCATATACTTAACTTCTGATCACTATGCATTCCTGTAAAAAAAACCTTACTTTATATTTGAAACCTGATTTGTGTCTATTTTGTACGTAAACAAGATTTTTGGCATGGTTTTCGAGCTTTTGCAAGATTTGTATGCCATTTCAGAAATACACATTACTGATAACAAGGCTGCTCAGGGTGTTTTCTCCAGGACAATATTGTAACACCCTATTTGTTACACTAGGGTGACTCTGGGAATAGGTATTCATGGCTTCTACTGCATTTTGCCTTCCAAGATGGTTTTACCCAAGCACTCAAATACTGAAATATATATTGTTTTGTGTAGATGACTTTTTTCCTTTTTATTTTATACTTAAGAGTTAAATTGATATTTAAAACTTTATATTGAATTTAGATTATATTATCTATGTCTTTTTAGTTAAAAGGGTTATTGTTCCCTATAGGACTGATTGAGAACCCTTGGCTAATTTGCTGAAGTGAAAGAATATCCCTCAATATTTTTTATCTTACTTAGGTTGGTTAATATTAGTACTAGAAAACTATATTTTGTTCCAAATTGTGGAAATCCCAACGTGGACTTTGGCCCAAGTCTTAAGATAATACTATAATCTCTGTTGTCAACTCCACATCTTTTATTCAACACGGGGGAAATAATGTAAAATTATTTAACCAAAATTTTAATACTGTATTATCAGAGCTATAATTTTTTTTCAAATAAACCTAATTGAGGCACAACGTATGTAAAATAAATGTACCCATTAGATATGTTTAAAAAATGCAAAATCCGGGCCTCCCTGGTGGCACAAGAGGTTGAGCACCACATTGTGAAGCTGTTCGCAGCCTCTGCAGAGCAGATTCGATCCGGGCCTACGAGAATCCCACAAGGCGAGAATCCCACATGGCACAGCAGACCTCTCCTCTCTCGCCCGCTGCTCCCCTCAGCAGTGTGTTTCATCAGTCTGCCTGTTCTGTTCCCCGCTCTGTCTCTGGTGAATCCTCTCACCCTCCCATGCATCTGGCCTGTACCCCAGCACTTGCATAAATAAAATAAATCTTAAAAAAAAAAAAAATGCAAAATCCATTTGACAATTATCCCAATAAATATAGTCTGTTTTTATAATTATAACAGTTTTCTTTCTGTCTTTTTGCAGTAAATCCCCCAACTCTTATCCCAGAAACAATCACTGATCTGATTTCTGACATTACAGATTACTTTCACTTTCTCAAATCGCATACAAAGGAAATAATACAATAATAACCTTTAGCATACAGTTTCCTTTACTCAGAACAATGTTTTAGAGGAATAGTCAAGTTGTTACTTTATATATTTCTTTTCATTATTTAATTGTATTCTATGTATGGACATATCAATATCACAAATGTTTGTATATTTACTTGTTGAAATACATTTAGACTGTTCCAGCTTTAACTGCTAAGAATAGAGTTGCTATGAATATTTGAATACAATGTTTATATGGACATAGGTCTATCTCTCTTAATTCCTAGAAGTAATGTTATTGTGTTGTTTGGTATTAACTCTATACGAAACTTAGACTGCTTTTCAATATGGTCATACCACTTTATATACCTCCAGCAACATAGAAAGACTTGTAGGTTCTCCACATATTTACCCATAGGTAATATTATTTAATTTTAACGACCAATTGTTCCATAGTGGTATCTCTAATGATAGTGAATTTCTCTAATGATGTTGAAAATGTTTTCATGGATTTAATGGCCATTTCTATTACTTCTTTTGTAAAATATCTGTTAGATTTTTTTGTTCATTTTTCCTAATTGCTTTGTCATATTATTACTAGTTGTAAGATTTGAGTATTTTCTGGAGAAAAGTTCTTTGTCAAATATACTTAATATAGTGCATTGTTCTCAGTCTATGACTTGACTTTTCAGTTTTTTGACTACTTGCCAAGAGCTGAACTGTTTAATTTTTTCTTAATTAAAGTTCAACATAGTTTTTCATTTGAGCTTAATACTCTATTGAATTTCAGAAATCTTTGCTTCCTCCGAATTTTTAGTATCGTAGAGATTTTACTGTTTTTTCTACTACATTTAGGTTTATGTTATAGTTCAGTAAATTTTGGTGTTTGCTGTGAAGTAAGGGATTGGTATGGGTTTTCTTATTTCCAAGCAGATATCTGTTCATTTCAACACCATTTGTTGACAAAGAGCATTTTTCTGATGACCTCGTCTCAGAAGTCAGTTGATTTGTGTGCATTTATTTTTGGACTCTCTTTTCACTGACATATATCAATATGTAGAGTTTCCCCCTACGACCAGGGAGGAATTGGTTCTGGGACCCATTACAGAAATGCTCAAGTCCCTTACATAAAATCGTACAGTATTTGTATAAAACTAGGAACATGCTGCCATATACTTTAAATCAGCTCTAGATTACTTAGAATACCTAATGCAATGTAAATGCTATGTAAATTATTGTTATACTGTGTTGTTTAGAGAAAAATGAAAAAGAAAAAAAATGTCTGTACTTGTTCAGTACAGATGCAACCATCATAGGCCTAACTATAGAGTACATATTTCCAACCCCTGGTTGGTTAACTCTGTAGGTGCAAAACCCCCAGATACTGAAGTTTAACTAGGCATACCTATGTATACAGATCAGCTTTGTCTATGTCAAACTTAGAGTTCTAATATAAACTTCAATTAGTTATGATGACATATTATCCTTTTTATATGTTTCTAATTTTGATGCACTAAAATTCCCATTAGTTAGTCATTTATTAAATATTTTATGTCAATGTTCATAAAGGATATTATTTTATGGTAATTTTTCTTGTTATATCCCTATCTGTTATATCTCTATCTCTATCTGGTAGGGTAATGCTAGTCCTATGTAACTTATTGAATTATGATCCTTGTTTTTTGGGAGGTTTTTATGACAAATTTGGTATTTCAAGTAGATACAGAGTGATTCACATTTTCTATTTTTTCTTGTAACAGTTTTGATCATTTGTATCTTTTAAGAAATTCACCTATTTTATCTGTTATCAAACTTAATGGTTTCATCAACTTATTAACAATATTTATTGTCACTCTCTTTTTCTTGATTATATGTAATTTGTACTGCTGCCATTTTATTATAACAGGCTTCTCTCTTTTTTTGATAGAGACATGTCAATTTTACTCATTTTTTGAAGAATCAGCTTTTGATTTTATTGATTTTCTTCTGTGTTAATCTACTTTCTGTTTCACTGATTTCCCATGTATCCTTAACATTCCTTCCTTCTACTTATTTTAGATTTACTTCACTTTTCTTTTTAGTTTCTTGCAGTAGCTCATTTATTGTAGACATTCCTTCTTTCCTTACACTATTAAACTCTGTATTTTTCCCTGATCAGACCCTTAGTTGCATCCCATAGATTTGGAATTTTTTTAAATTCATTTCAATATCTTTTGAAAAATTTTTGGTGATTTTTTCCTTTGGCACATGTGTTACTCTGAAGTGTGTTGTTGCTATGGTCACAATGTTTGTGTAACCCCAAGATTCAAATGCTGAATCCCAATGCCCGTTGTGATGAAATTAAGAAGTTGGGCCCCTGGAGGTGCTTTGATCATAGGAAGCAGCTTCATGAGTGGGATCAGTGCCCTTAAAAAAGACATTCCAGAGAAATACCTTGCCCCTTGCGCCATGTTAGGACACAGTAAAAGAGCAAATGATAGCCCAGGAAGCAGACTTCCACCAGATATTAATCTGACAAAATCTTCATCTTGCATTTACCAGTCTCAAAAACTGTGAAATAGTGTCTGTTTGTTTGTAAGCCACCTAATCTATGGTATTTTGTTGAATTAGCCCAAGTGATCTAAGACATTGTCAATATATTTCTTGAGTTCTTGCTAAATAGCTTAATGTTATTAATGTTTAGTTTAATTACCTTATGGTCAAAGAATACACTCTACATTATTTGAATACTTTTAAATTTGTTGAGACTTGATTTTTATTTTAGCATATTGTCTATGACACTGAAAACAATGGCATACTGCTGTTCTAAGGTAGTGTGTTCTATGAAGATTAAATCAAGTTGATTGATGGTGTTCTTCTT